CCTTCCCTTCTCCCTCCTCAAAAGAGCCCATCATCGAATCGAAAAGTCGGATCGGCGATCCAAATACATCGAAGCGATAGAAACTGGCAGCCAAGTCGGGAAAAATCGAATCGGCGGATTGCAATCGGCAGACTGGTGAAACCTCCATTGGGAAACAGAGGTCCAAGTTGGAATCCGAGGTCGAACCGAATCGGAATGGGAATCGATCGCAATCGGACCAAACCGAACCGGAGGAATCGAACTGAATTCCGCCTGCTCCCTCCTTCCTCCGTGCCGTCCTCACCCAACCCTCATCCCTGCACCTTCCTCCCTACCTCCTCCTTCCATCCTCCCTACCTCTTCCCGCCCTGCCTCCTCCTTCCGTCCTCCCTCCCACCCTGCCACCCCCTGACTTGACTCGTAGAGAAATATTCGCAAGGGCGCGAAATGACCGCGTGACGCCCTGGGCCCCTGATGGTATCACTGGCACCTCAAACAACCGACGATGACCTCCAAAAGACCCTGAGATGACCCTGGGATGACCCCGCATCGTCTCAAATGGCTTCAAGAAAACCCCAACGCAGCACAAATCCTTGAACTGATGGACTCCATCGCACGCCAAAACGATCCCAACACAGCGGGATCCGTGAACGACCCAGGTGTTTGGTGTCCCTTAAGTTTTGTTGGGTGGGATGTTGACCACACTGAACTAACTATCGTATGATTAGAAGGGGTTCAGATAGGCGGAATCCCGCTATGCCCACGGCAGAAGACTACATTGCTAGGCTTCTACATATCAAGGGTCAAAGGTTCGGAATTATGTATATCCGCCGTCTGCAACCTCGTTATACTTCCGTCGACTTCTGCGGACGTCAAATACTTCCGCTGTCTTCTGCATGGCTTCCGCTCAGCCTCGTTATGCTTCAAAGGAGTGTCGCTGATTAACGTCGTCACAACATGCAAGGAACTGGCATTGGACCGATTTAGACATGCTCGCAATATTGATCTCAGGTCAATCGAAAATCCTTGAAAGGAAGATTTACGGCGGCTGGATTATACCGAGAGTTCTGCTCGACAGGCACCGATGGTGTCTGTTCATTATCGACTGCGAACACGAGAAGTCTATTCATTGTCCGATCTAGACTCGGAGCAAGTAGTTCCGCTCTGCAACTGTTTCCTTGCATGTTTAATTGCTCGTGGGCGTCATCTCTAGATTCAGAGCATCTACAGAGCTCTTTAGCATACCTTTGGATCGGCGATCGGCGAAAACATGAATCTGCACTCTCGAGAGCGCCGAGATATATTGACCAGCCGAGCTATACTCGAATAACTAGGTTTGCACTGAAACTAGTTTGCTGTTTGCTGCAGGGTGAAGTGATTGTTTGCCTTGGTCAGCAATTACACAGCGCGTGGGCATACCATTGGATCGGCAATTGTCACAAGGACCAATCTGCAGCCCCGAGGGCCCTAATACTCGTTCGCTAGACGAACTGTTCTTGAGAAGCTACCTCTGCACAGAAGCTTTATCGCTGTAGGTCCAAGTGTTTTGTTGACTTCAACTTCGGGACTTAGAACAACTGCAAACAGAACTCTTAATGATACGTTGACCGGGTTGGTGGCTTTTAGAGTGTTGGACTCCGGAATCAAGTGCGTTTGAACTCGATTCGTTTCCCCAACCCCCGCTACAGCCGATTCATCTGAACCAATTCGTTCCCACAACCCCCAGCGCGAAAAATGAATTCCCCCGACCCCGTGACATGATCCGCTCATTTCCTTACCCCTACGGGGAACCGAACGGCTCATTTCCCGACCCCAAGCAATGACCGTTTTCTCAACACGGTTCATTTCTTCGACGTCGAAAAATGAATGGTTCGTTTCTCCACCCTGTGGGGAACTGAACGGCTCAATTTCCCCAGCCCAGAACAACTCACGGCTCATCGCTTCAACCCGTTAACAAAATCAACGATTCATGTCTCCAGCCCCAAACACTGGGCGCTTCAATGTCGCCACCCCAACAAAATGAACTGTTCATGTTCTCATCCCCCCTGAAAATGAACAGGTACTTAGGGTATAGATCACCGGGGGCCTTGGCTACCCTAGGCCCTACCCAAGGCCCTAGGCTTCCCAAGGGTAGGCCCTACCGAAGGCCCTAGGCTTCCCAAGGGTAGGCCCTACCCAAGGCCCTAGGCTTCCCAAGGGTAGGCCCTACCCAAGGCCCTAGGCTTCCCAAGGGTAGGCCCTACCCAAGGCCCTAGGCTTCCCAAGGGTAGGCCCTACCCAAGGCCCTAGGCTTCCCAAGGGTAGGCCCTGCCCAAGGCCCTAGGGATATTCCCAAGGGGTAGGCCCGGTAGGCTAGCCCTAGGGAAGCCCTAGGGGTAGGCCTTAGGGGTAGCCCTTTTATTGCGGATTACAAACTGATACCTTTGGTCGGGCGGGTAGGGCAGGACATTAAATGCATTGATTGCTTTGGTGGCGGATTACATGTTTATTCCCTTTGGGAGCGGATTACAGATTGCCCTAGGGGTAGGCCTTAGGGGTAGCCCTTTTATTGCGGATTACAAACTGATACTTTTGGTCGGGCGGGTAGGGCAGGACATTAAATGCATTAATTGCTTTGGTGGCGGATTACATGTTGATTCCCTTTGGTAGCGGATTACAGATTGATGCCTTTAGTCGGGCGGGCGGGCGGGACATTAAAGGCATTGATTGCTTGCTTGTGTGGTGGATTACCAATTGCTTCCCGTTGGTACCGGATTACGAGTAGATTCCATGCGTGGCGGATTACAAGCTGATTCCTTTTGTCGGGCGGGCGGGCGGGACATTTAAAGCATTGATTGCTTGTGTGGCGGATGGCAAACTGATTCTTATCGTGGCAGATTACACATTGATTCCTTTTGTCTGGCGGGCGGGCGGGACATTAAAGGCAATGATTGCTTGTGTGGTGAATTGCGAATGGATTCCCTTTGGCAGCGGATTTAAAACTTATTCCTTTGGTCGGGCGCCTTTTGCCGGGCGGGCGGGCGGGACATTGAAGGCAATAATTGCTTGTGTGGTGAATTACAAATGTATTCCCTGCGGCAGCGGATTGCAAACTTATTCCTTTGGTCGGGCGGGCGGGCGGGACATTAAATGCATTGATTGCTTTCGTGGCGGATTGCAAAGTGATTCCATTTGGCAGCGGATTGCAAGTTGATTACTATTATGGCGGATTACAAGCTGATTCCTTTTGTCGGGCGGGCGGGCGGGACATTAAAGGCATTGCTTGCTTGTGTGGCGGATACACATACTGAAGGCCCTAGGCTTCCCAAGGATAGGCCCTACTGGACACCCTAGGGTAGCCCTAGGGTACCCCTAGGGGTAGGCCCCAGAGGTAGCCCTAGGGTAGCCCTAGGGGTAGGCCCTAGGGTAGCCCTAGGGTAGCCCTAGGGGTAGGGTAGCCCTAGGGGTAGCCCTGGGGTAGCCCTAGGGGTAGGCCCTAGGGGTAGGGTAGCCCTAGGGTAGCCCTAGGGGTAGGGTAGCCCTAGGGGTAGCCCTAGGGGTAGGCCCTAGGGGTAGCCCTAGGGTAGCCCTAGGGGTAGGCCCTAGGGGTAGCCCTAGGGTAGCCCTAGGGGTAGGCCCTAGGGGTAGCCCTAGGGTAGCCCTTCCTTGGGTGATCTATAAGGTACTTAGGGGTATGCTAACTCACGCTGCGGCGGCAACAGATGAACGGTTCAACTTCCAAATACCCTACAGAACAATCCGAGAGCTAGGGGGATGCTGACTCCCACTACGGCCGAAACAACTCATTTCCGAACGGGGAAAACATGAACCGTGCATTTTCCATATGGTTGAGAACATGAACCGTTCATTTTTCAAGGTCGGGGAATTGAATCATTCACTGTTTGGGTGTGGAACACATGAACCGTGCATGTTCTAGGGGGTTGAGAACATGAACGGCGCATGTTTCGTGACTGGCACAACAGGCCGTTCATATGAATCGATCCTGGTGTGGGATGGTAAAATGAAGCGTTCACTTTGCCAAGGGGATGGGGAAATGAACTGTTCATGTTCGGCGTCTCGCAGATCAGACCATTCATATGAATGGAAAGTGCTAGGGGTTGGGATAATGAACCCTTCATTTCGCCAAGGGGGGTAGAAAATAGACTGTTCATGTTTGGCGTCTCGCAAAATAGACCGTTCATGTGAATCAAAAACGTTCGGGGTTAAGAAAACAACAGTTCAATGTGTCAAAATGCTGGGGAAATTAGCCGTTCAATTCTAGCGGCTCGCAGAACAAACCGTTCATATAATCAGAGGATGAATCACCGTCGGGGCGGGGATGAACCACGTTTGTTCCGAACGGCGCAAGAATGAACCGAACACCTACGCTCTAAAGCATATTATTGGATCGGCACTCGTCGGAGGCATCAGTCTGCAGCCCTGAGGGCGCTGAGATCGGTTCACTAGTCGAGCTAGATTCAACATATTGGTTTCTCACTGCAACTGCTCTGTTGCAAGTCGAACTGCTGTAGACTGGATCGCGAGACTAAGGGCCACTACAAAGCCCCGATGCAACGAACATGCATCACATGCCCAACGGGAACGCGTCTGTAACCGTTCGGGCGCCGAGATCGGTGCAATACCACTCGAAATGCAATTTACAGAAAGGATGCTCGGAGAGTTCCTGGCCGTAACCAAGATTGATGGTTTACCATTAGCACCTACTTTCTCACCTCCCTCCCTCCCCATTTGTCGTCCCTCCTCCATCCTGGCTCCTCCCTGGTTATTTTCTCACCTCTGCTCCTCCCTCCTCCCACCCTCATTCCCTGCTCATCATATTATTCATTATCTTCCTCTTTCTCCCCTCTCCCCAATAGCAGCCTCACCTCTATTCGCCTGCTCACCCTCCTCCCAATAATTCCCTTCTCTCCTTCCCTCGCTCCATTAATCCCTCCTCCATTTCTCCCTCTTCTCTCCCCCGTCCTCCATCCTGGGCTCTCATTCCGACACCCTCCCTCGTGACACTGTCCCCTCCCAAGCTCCTTGGCAGTGAAGACGCCGGTGGACCTTGGATATCTTGGGAAACTCTCGTGCAACTCTGCGATCTATGTTTGCCTCCGCCGTTCGGCCCTGCTCCTCGCTTCCGCACCGAAAAGAGTGCCGCGTTCTGCTATGATTCCGATACCGTTCCCTCCACGGACGCGCCTGCTTCCCCGCCCCACCTCCTGTGCGCAAGAATCCCTGCACGGCCACGGCAGTGTTGTACCTGCGGATCCTGCCCCCGCGCAGCGCCAAGCCTCTGAGAACCGCCCCGCAGGTCTCCAAGACGCCTGCGCTGTTTCTCAGGCCGTGCGACCCTGATTCGGCCACGCAAGAGAGACCATGCAGTAAATCCGTATTCGCAGTAAGGATGCGCGGCAAGGATGCAAGGGCCTTGCAGGGCCATGTTGAACCTCTCCCGGAGTGCGTTCTGACCAGGATTTCGTGGCGAATCCAGCGGTGGTGACGAGGGCCTCCCAAGAGGCCCCCAAAGGGGAAAACGTGGGAAGGGCAGCGGTATTGGTACCCTTTCCTCTTCTGACGAAGGGGCAAGGAATCAACGGTGGGAAAGTTGCTGAAGGCAAGGGCAGTCTGCCTGCCATGCCACAGCAGCGGGGCCCGCGTGCTCGAATCTGGCCCGCCCGGGGCCCCCGACTGCCGCGCACCACAAGCCACTCCAATCAAAAGTCACGCACATGTGCAGCCGACGCTCCGTGGCTCGCACGATGCTGGAGAAGCCGCCGATAACCGACGAGGGCGCCTGAAAACAATCGAACCCGAAAGTTACGAAAGACGGGACTCGCTTGCACGCTCATTCTTTGCCTGAGCCTATCCCTCCGCTCCCTGGGCGCCTGCGGGTCCGCCAGGTATGTCAACAACTGGGCACGAGCCGCGGTTGGGCAGGCGACCCACTGCCTCCACTTGGCAACGTCGGCGGCGGCACCGACAACAGCACCTGCTGCCAGCCTTCGTCCCCGCACTTCCCGTACCCGTCTCGATCGTACCGAACTCTGCCCCCCCGGGCCCCAGGGTGCTGGTCTGGCGGGCACCGCTCCCGACTGCCGCTCCCTCTCCCTGCCAGCCCTGGTTGGCGCCGCGCGCCGCGTTCTGGCGCCTTCCCCGCGCTACGCTTCCGGGCCGCTGCCATGGCTGCTGCCAAAGACAGCGGGTGCGACTGGTTTTTGGCTGGCGGTGCCAGACACGGTCCGATACGGTGGCAGGCTCGGGGGAAGGTGCAGGCGGATTGCGCCCATGCGCGGCGGGAGGAGGCGGGAGCGGCCCTCGTTACCCGTCGGTTTTAGGCGGTCTTCTAAGTGAGAGCTGGATGGTCGCGTCTGACAAGGGGGGGCCATCATCGAACATCTCAAGCGTCAGCCATACGCAGGCTCCGAAGACAGCTAAGCGGCGAGACTCGCAGATGTACGCGGCGCCCACGGTGCCCCACGGAATGGACGCCGGATCCTTCGGACGGGCCAGGATAGCCGCAAATTGGTTATTATCCTGGTTATCATGCTCATCATGCTGCCCTCCGCTTCCTCCTGGTATTTCTCCTCCTGCTCCCGTTCATCATCACCACAATCCTCGTCCTCAATATCATGCTCCTCCTTCTTCATAGTCCTCCTCATCATCCTCCGTAAAGAAGTGGCATCATCTTCATCAGGATGGTTCTCCCTCCTGCTGTTGATGCTCATGCACCTGCTGCTTCTGCGTCACCTGCTCCTCGTCCTCCTGATTCCACTGCTCCTCCTGCTCCTTCGTCATCCTCCCCCCCCCTCCTGCCCCTCACGCTCCATTTGCTCCAACTGCCACTGCTCCTACTGCGCCCCCCGTCTCTGCTCCACCTGCTTGTCCTCCGTTGCTCGCGATCCCGCTCCTCCTCCTCGTCCTCCTCCTCCTCCTGCTCATCTTGATCGTCATCTTCCTCCTCTCCTTTTGCTCGTGATACAACTCCTCCTGCATATCTCGACCCTCCTCCTCCTCCGCTTCCTTCTCCTCCTCCTCCTCCTTCTTCTCTCTGCCTCCCCCTCCCCTCGTACAGGAGGGTTGCAGCCCGCGGTCGATGTCCTTCTCGTGGAACACCGCGATCTCCTGCGCAGGAGGATTCGCGAAGGCATCGCCGCGGGGCCAAAGTCCAGAAAGGCTCATAGCCACCCATCCCTCCATCGCTCAGGTCAGCCCACTCCGAAATGTATGCTACTCGGCATGCGAAGCGCGCCATTCTCTTCGCGCTCTCGAGCCTCCTGGAGAGGAGGGCAGCGCTCCAGCCCAGACCACACCCCGAGGGTACCATCACGCACCCCGAGGGTGAACTGGCTCATCTCCCTCCCTCCCCTGGCCCTCCCTCCCCCATCCCCTCTCCGACTCCTCCCCTCCTCCTGCCAGTCCCTCCTTCCCTCCCACACGTACGAACAGGGACAATCAAGCGCGTTTCGACTGCAGCGTGTCAGTGAAAATTCACAGCAGACTGTGTTCCTGGAGGCCGTGGATCGCCCAAGCAGTCCTATGCCTTCCAAACCAGGAGCGGCCATCGCTCTCCGTGCAAAATTGAAGGCTGGGTTGTCGGCAGATGCAAAACAAATCCGCCAAGGTGCCAGCGGCACAGTGGGGCGTGCTAGAATAAGATGCGGCTGTCTGGGACTCTCTGCAATGTTCTAGGTCCGACCCGCACCCTGGACCTATCCCGACGCTACCCTGGTCGAAACATACCCCCCTTGTTTTGCTACCCGGCGCCCTTTTCGACCCGTAGACGACTTCAAGAAGGCCGAAGATCGCACCAAAACAGCTACAATACGCCCCAAAGCCACTTGAAGACGGCTAAGCGAGATCCCAAGCAGCAAAAAAGGCTCCAACAGGCGTCCGAAGAAGCGCCCGAAGAGGCTCTCAGCGAGGCCACACGAAGCGAAAACATCGCACAACTGAAGGCAACTCCATGTTTGCTGCCTCGTAGGCTGTTCGGTGTGGGATCGCCTGGGGAAAATCACCCAAGCTGGACCAAGACACCCCCAAGACGGGCCAAGACAGCATCAGGAGCGCCCAAATACAGCCCAAAAGACTGACCGAAAGCCCCGAAGAAACGACCCCAGAGCCAAGAGGCCTCCAAGACGCCACCAAGACCCGCCCAGACGTGTCCAAGATGGTTCAAGCAAGCCTTTTCGGGAGAACTCCGTGAAACAATCGCGCCCAAGACGGCCCCGAGACGTCCGATGGGCCCAAACGGGCCTCTTGCAGGATCCAAGAGGGCACCAGGAGGAGTGAGAGGAGGAGGAGGAGGAGGAGGAGGAGGTGGAGGAGGAGGAGGAGGAGGGAGGAAGGAAAGGGAAGACTAGGCTGCGAACAAGGAGGGGTTGTTCAAGACCCGTGCCAGTTCAGACAGAGCACTGAAATGAAGCGTGTCTTAAACTCAACCTCCTTTTTGCTGTGCTGCTGCACTGGCACAGCGACGGGGTTTGCCGCAGGCAGCTGTATCTCGCGCCTAGGAGAAAGCTCGCAGAGCGAAACGCGCTCCCGACATGTCAGGAACGGATCAGGCGCCGTCAACCTTGGCCATGTGGCAGCACAGGTCCACGAGGCGGTTGGAGTAGCCCCACTCGTTGTCGTACCAGGACACCAGCTTGACGAAGGTGTCGCTCAGGGAGATGCCGGCGCTGACGTCGAAGATGGACGAGGACTTGCAGCTCACGAAGTCCGTGGAGACCACCTCCTCGTCGGTCCAGTCCAGGACGCCCTTCATCGGGCCCGCGGCCGCCTCCTTCACGGCTGCCACGATCTCGTCGTACTTCGCGCCCTTCTCCAGGCGGCACGTCAGGTCCACCACGGACACGTCCGGCGTGGGCACGCGGAAGGCCATTCCTGTGAGCTTGCCGTTCACCGCCGGGAGGCACTTGCCCACCGCCTTGGCGGCGCCCGTGGAGGACGGGATGATGTTCTGCGAGGCGCAGCGGCCCCCGCGCCAGTCCTTGCCGCCGCGGGACGGGCCGTCCACCGTGAGCTGCGTGGCCGTCATCGCGTGCACCGTGGTCATGAGACCCTCCACGATGCCGAACTTCTCGTGCACCACCTTGGTCAGCGGGGCCAGGCAGTTCGTGGTGCAGGACGCGTTCGACACCACGGTGTCCGAGGCCTTGTACTCGGTGTGGTTCACGCCGACGACGTAGATCGGGACAGCGTCCTTGGGAGGAGCAGAGATGATGACCTTCTTGGCACCACCCTTGATGTGCAGCTCAGCCTTCTCCTGGGCAGTGAACACGCCGGTGGACTCGCAGATGTAGCTGGCGCCCGCGGCGCCCCACGGGATGGACGCCGGGTCCTTCTCGTGGAACACCGCAATGTCCTTGCCGTCCACGACCAGGAACTCCTTGCCGTCGGCCACCTTCGTGGCGATGATGCCCGGGTAGCGCTTGTGCACGGAGTCGTACTTGAGCATGTAGACCATGTACTCGAGGTCCATGAAGGGATCGTTGATGGCCTTCAGCTGCACCTCAGGGTTGCCGAGCGCTGCGCGGCAGACCAGGCGACCGATGCGGCCGAAGCCGTTGATGCCCATCGCGGCCGGCATGGGGCTCAAGTAGCACGCAGGCCGAGGGCAGGGCGATACGATATCTAATGATATCTACTCTTGAGCCAAAACGGCCTGAACCAAAGCTTTCTATAATCCCACCAGCCCTTTCGGGCCGAGGCGGTCTAACTTCCAACTCCCTTCTTCCCATTCGGGAAGGGGATTACCCTCCCCCTTTCCCTTTCCCCTGGGTCTGGACGAGGGCGGGCCCGGTGCGTCAGAGGGTTCCCTTTTGGCCCAGGATGGCTCCAAGATGGCCCAAGACAACCCATGATTGCCTCCAAGACGGTACAAGACATCTCAGGATGGTTCAAGATGGCCTCCAAGATGCTTCCAACAGGCCCCAATACAATTCCAAGACGGCTCCAGGTGGCAATGCAGCCTCCCACAGAGGCCCCTGAGAGGCCAAACTTCGGCCCGACCCAAATGTAAACACGTGCTTCTTGCCTTCTCGCCGTGTCGCCTCCAAGATGGCCCAAGCGATCCCAAGGGTCCATTGTGGCCCAAGATGGCCTCAAGTCAAGATTGCTCCAAGATGGCCCAAGGGATCCCCAAGAGGGGCCCGAACTGCCCCGAGAGCGCTCAAGAGGACCACCAGAGGCGACGTTTCGGGCCCAAGAGGGCCAGCCCTGATCGGCGTCGCCCCCTGCTTTGCTCCATGGCCTCCCACATGGCCGCCAATGCATATACGATTCACCCCTGGGTCTGCGCAGGCTGATCCAAAACTTCGATTTGACGGCTTCCACACTTCCACACTTCCAATGCGTGCTTCCACACTTACATGATCAATGCAACTCGCTTGGGCATCGTTGCTGGAGGAGCTGCTGTAGATACACGAAGCCTCACGAATCCCACCAGCCCTTGGGCGTAGGCAGCTTAGGGAGTTGGCTCGTCCAGCCTCCACTCTCCCTTCGGGGAGAGGTTCACCTATGCCCCGACCCCCTCTCCCTGGGTCTGGACGGGCCTGTTCGCGAGAATGTCCAAGATGGCCCCAAAAGGGCACCAGACCGGTAACCGCTTCCAGCGTATGTAAAACAGTGAACTGGCTCCAGCACTGCAACGGCAACATCTGCAGACTGACAACTCGCAAAAGCAAACCTGGAACCAGCCGTGCAGGCAAGCAGAGGGGGGCGGGGGGCTGGCGGCAGAGGGCGAAGCCCCTCTTCAGACATTCCTTGTCGTGCTCTGCTCAGCGTGGGCAGCCAGTTCAAACATCCCTCCCAGGACTCCTCCTCGACACCCCCCTGGCCAATTTCCCGAGCCGCGCCCAGCTGCGGCGACGAACGGCCCGCACCCAGCACCAACGGCCCAAGTTACCCAGGCACGTGGCCAACTCACCCAGGATTACCCAGGACGCTTGGCGGGACCGTGGGGTGGATCCGCGTAGGGCGCCACTCTACTGGATCCGCCAAGGGGCGCAGGAACGGGGGAGGCGACGGTGGCGAGCTTGGCAGCACCCCATCCAGACGAGGTCTTGATCGGATCCGCGTATGGCGCTACCCCGCTGGACCCCCCTCGGGGGCGCAGGAACGTGGCGACAGTCGTGCGTCTGCCAACACTCAGTCAAGGCAAGGTCTCGTTGGATCCGCGTGGGGCCCGCAGGGCGAGGTATTGTTGGATCCGCGTGGGGCGGCACTCCGCTAAGACCCCCAGGGGCGCAGGAATGTGGCGACAACTGTGCATCGTTCCGTGGCTCTCTAGGAAAGTCCACCGAAGGCCCCAATGGCGGTAATCGCATGCGTCCCCGCCAATCATTTCGGCACACCCCTCACACGCCTCGTGGCTCCATAAGGAGGGAGCTCCACCGAAGGTCCCCGTGGAGGTGACCGCATGCCCCTCACACGCTTCGTGGCTATACGGGGAGCCACAGCGAAGGCCCCAGTGACAGTGACCGCATGCGCCCGCTTCCCCCATTCCAGCACGCCCCTCACACGCTTCGTGGCCATTTAGGGAGCCCTAGCGAAGGCTCTGGCGGCGGTGACCGCATGCGGCTCGCCGCCCATTGTGGCACACCCTAGACACGTTTCGTGGCCCCATGGGGAGCTCCACTTGAGGTCCCAGTGGGTGCGTCGTCGCCCATTCAGCACTCCCTTCGCACGCTCCGTGGCTCCATAGGGAGCTCAGCCTAAGGCCCAACTAGCTGTGTCCACATGCGATTCCCAGCCCATTTCGGTACAGCCCAGGCACGTGTCGTGGCTCCTCAGGGACCTCCACCTAAAGCCCTGGTGAATGCGTCCACATGCGGCTCCCCACTCAGTTCGGCACACCCCTCACACGTGTCGTGGCCCCATAAGGAAACTCCCCCTCATTCGTCCCGGCTGCCTTGCGGTACTCACACTTGCATCTGGTTGGGTCCTTCGCCAGGATAATGTTGCTCGGCAGCGCGTTCGCGAAAATTCACGGCTGGCTGTCTGTCTTCCGGAGCCGTGGATCGCCCAGGCAGTTCTACGCCTGGCAAGCGAGGAGCCGGCCTCGCCCTCCACGCAAAATTGAAGGCTAGCCTGCCGGCAGATCCTGAACAGATCTCGCGCCT